TTATTCCCCTTCGATTCCGCGATAAAATTAATTGTTGTTATTATTTTATTGTGGGTACCCTTATTTGGAGTCACGAGCGATTTGAAGCTCGGATAGGGAGTTGAGAAGCGCGCATTTAATTTAATTATATAAATAGATCACTTGTAGATTAGAATTCAGTCTTAATTGAACAACTACCGTATAAAGAGCGGTAGTACGAAGCTAATCTTGTAACATCCCCCGGTCGGAAGAACACCCCTACGCAACAGATTAATTGCTCTCCCAAACCCCAGACCATCCGACCGTAACACACCAATTGCCTGATATTCATCACTATTTGCAACTTCCTGTTAATGAAAATAGAATGTCAGGATAACTAGAAATCTCTTTGGCATCAATCCTGCTTGGTTTACCTTCTTAAGTTCAAAAAACAGTTTTACTACACCCTGCTCCCAAAGTAAAAGTGCTATTGGTAGGAAAATGTTGTCCACAAGCCATCCAATACTGTTTAATGGCATGAACATTCTTTACTATAAGTCCACAAAGATAGGAAGGTCCAAGGAATGTGTTTCTGATACTCAGTGTATTGAGTTGCATGTGCATCTTCACCTGCTTCACCCCAGGCAAATGGAGTGGGTTGGTTGCCAATCATAGATAGGTTGTCAAAAGTTATCCACTCCACATCATAATGCATGAGAATTTTTTGTTTCTTCTCAGCATTGACAGAATATAAGGCAATTGTTCCCGATTCCTCAAACTGATGCTTCAGCTCATTGACAGTCACAGTGTTCACCTCTAACTTCTTATTGACAGTTGCAGTATTTGCCTCTAACTTCTCAAGTATCTGTCACAGGTCACTCACCTCTGTCAAGTCTAAAATGAAATATACCAATCATGATCAGCAGGGGAAAAAAAAAAACAAGTTTTTTCAACAGATCCTTACATGATAGTCCAGTGATGCTCGATTTTATCAAAGAGGAAGCAATCGATGTGGCTGGACGGAAATCAGAAGGGAAAGCACTGATTAGTGAATGATGAAAAAAGATATAGCAAACCTTCCCAATAACTACAGTAACGTGCAAAAGTATCCTACCGGTTGTATCATCTAAACGTACATAATAATAACTCCTTAAATTTTCCA